GGCGATATGCTGACTCTGTAAACCGCTTAGAGAGGGCTGAAAGCCCTATGAAGCGGTATATAAGTCTAACTGCTATTGCTATTGCTATTCTGTTTGCAGTATCAAATGGGAAAAAAATGAAATTTCATTTCATTTAGGTTTAAATGTAATTACAGTTCATTGCAGTTAATATGATTAAGCCCCAGTATGTCTTTAATAATCTTCTCTTCCTGTTGCATTAAAAACATAATTGCATCTTGGCTATTGGAGGCTTTGTTGGTCTTAAATAGCACTTCTCTATTCTACGACACGCAGGATTCTTAATGAGGCTGGTTTTTCCCGGTATTGACATTAACAAGTAAAACTCACGGATACATAGACGGCAGCAAATGCAGACAGGGTGGCATGCTGAGAAGGGAATGTTTTCCTGGAAGGGAGAAAGAAATGATACAAACATTCATGATCCCCCTGCAGCCAGGAGACCTTAATTTCACAACACATTGACGAGTTCAACCAGAACTGCACTTAGGAAGAAGCACTTAGGCATTTCTTAAAACTTTCTGCTCTCCAGACCCCTTCCCAATTTCAAAAATTACGGTGGACTCTTAAGAAGCCTTTGTTGGGTTATATTTAATGACTCTTATCATGTTAAAAATTAAAACTGACCCATTCACAGAATATATGCGGGCTCATGTAAAAATTAGCAATGTTAAACCCATTCAGGTAGTCCTTGAGTTATGATGGCCATTGGGACTGGGATCGTCCCTAAGTGATGCAGTCATCTTTATACAATGTCATATGACTGCATCACTTTGCAACAGAAATTCAGGCAGTTCGTTGTTGTCATAAGACCAAGACATAGCAATAGCACTTAGACTTATATACCGCTTCACAGTGCTTTACAGCACTCTCAAAGTGGTTTTACAGAGTCAGCCTATTGCCCCAAACAATCTGGGTCCTCATTTTACCCACCTGGGAAGGGTGGAAGCCCGAGTCAACCTTGAGGCTGGTGAGATTGGAACTGCCAAATTGCAGGCAGCCAGCAGAAGTAGCCTGCAGTACTGCACTCTAACCACTGCGCCACCATGGCTATTAATGCCAGTCATTAAGCGGGAAGTTAAAAGCAAAGGGGAAAACAAGTACATCCTACCTATATGTCCCAACTTTATAAGTACAACAAAATGAGATAGTAAATCTATAGGTAGCAACATAGATTATTATTGTGCTACTGGTGCTCAATCATCATAATAATTATCAACTATGGAAGCAGAAACTAGTATGTCCTCAACTTACAACAGTTCGTTTAAAGTTACAACAGCATTGAAAAAAGTGACTTATGACTGTTTTCACAGTTACGACCTTTGCAGCATCCCCATGAACATGTGATCAAAATTCAGATGCTTAGCAACTGATTTATATTTATGACAATTGTAGGGGTCATGTGCTTATTTTTTGCAACCTTCTGGCTAGCAAAGTGAAGGAGGAAGCCAGTCACTTAGCAACTGGGTTACTAACTTGTCAACTGCAGTGCTTCACTTAACAACTAAGGCAAAAAGGTTATAAAATGGGGCAAATCTCACTTAACAAATGTCTCACTTAACAACATAATTTTTGGGTTCTATTGGGGTTGTAAATTGAGCACTACCCGTACAAGGGACTATATACACTAGTGGCCTGCTGCAAAAATGTTTATTTAAGAAAGAAATCCCAACTAGGGGCATTAACATCTATTTTTAATATCTTAGTACCTAAGATTAGGACAGGAAATGACAAGAAAGAAGCACAATACAATTCTAACAGCAAATTTTCAAATAACTGTCAAATTCTCCCCAAAAATTGACGCAAATTTTCTAAGAAACTGTGGTTGACAATATTGTTGTGATAGTAAGTGATCAACTGAGGTAAGCTTGAATGACTGACATGTATTTATTTTTTATCAAATGTATATGCTGCCCACCATGCTATCCAGAGTGACTCTGGGTGGAATATAGACAGAAGTTATAACAACTTTTAATTAGAAATAACCTGCAAAAGCTGGTTTCCATAGCAGTTGTAAAACAAAGGTAGGTGGACTCACCTGGCTGAGAGAATAGCATGCTGGTCTTGACCTGAGCAGATATCTTGAGTGATGTAAGGGTTGGACTCACAGGAGATAGCCAGAAGAGTATAGTTGGGCTTACAGACGGTCAAGAAGAAAGGGGCGTGGTATCCTGTGGCTAATTGGATGACATCGGTCACCAGGGCTGTGGCACAAAGGCCAAACACGTGAACACCTGAAGCGGGGGAGCAAATTCAGGTCAGGTTAGGGCCTGGGAGTGGTAGAATGAATGAAAGGACAAGAGTAAGGACGGGTCCTTGGTACAGAATGTGCAAAAGAGACAATCAACAAGCCAAAGAATGGGAACAAAAAGACCAACGTATCTCCTCCACCAGCAATCAGCATCAAGATAAGCTTAGAGTAACACCAAAATTAACACCAAACTAGCGATCAAGAAATAAACGATGCCCCAATCAAGGAAGCAAATAGCCCAATCACAGAACCTCCAAGATCACCAACACCGACAGGGCAAGCCACTAGAACAGGGGTGTCAAACTCAAGGCCCGTAGCCCAGATCCGGCCCATGGGATGCTTAGATCCGGCCCACAGGGCTGCCCTGGAAACAACAAAGGACCAGCCCACAGTGCCTCTGCCAGCAAAAAAGCAGCCAACCCGAGTTCTGTTTTCGCTGGCAGCTGGTTGCAGGAGGCCGTCACAGCCGAGAACGGAGCTCGGGAGCCCATTTTCGCTGGCGGAGCACTCGGGCCACCACAAGCGCCCCTGACATTAGTGGCGTCAAGCTGGCCATGCCCCCTGGCCACGCCCACCCCGGGCCCCCAAAGTCAAACACAACCCTGAGCAAATATATTAAGTGATGAAATGAAATGGAGTTTGACACCCCTGCACTAGAATCAGTGGTGGGTTCCGGATGGTACAGGCGTACCTGTGGCAGCTGGGAGCAGCTGTTTTGCAGCACCGGAACGGTGTTTTGGTGGGCCCACCCGCCCACGTTCCTTACCTGTTTTTAAGCCAACCAGGCCACTTGTGCATGTACACACAGCGTACGGCACCTGCGTGATCTCCGCCGAGCAGCTGGAGCGTTGCAGGGTGGTGGGTGCGCATGCATGCACAGCGTGTGTGCCCGAGGTGGATGCCCAGCCTCATCGCAGTGTACCGGTTGCGATGGGATCTGGGACCCACCACTGACTAGAATGTAAACTGGGAGCAAACCCCGCTGCCTACTAGCACTGATGATGTTACCTAGTTTGGACATCTGGCTGAGAAAAGAATCCATTGCTTTTCAATGGCAACAAGCAAAGAAGTGTGTTTCCAATCAACAATGTTGATTCGAAGCAGCAGTGCGAGACTCTCTGTATTCATTTTCTATTTTTATCTCTCTCTTTTTTAATTTTTTAATTTGGAATCTGCTGGAGGGGAAAAACTTTGGTACGCCAACACTCTGTCTCTCTGACTCAGGGAGACAGGTAGTCCTCAACTTACGGCCATTCACTTCAAAGTTACAACAGCCCTGAAAAAGGTGACTCACAATCTGTCCTCCCACTCGTGACCATTGCAACGTCCCCACAGTTATGGGATCAAAATTTGGGCACTTGTCAATCGGTATGTATTTATGACAATCGCAGCACTTTGCGAGGGTCCTGTGTTCTCTATTTATCACCTTCCCAGGAGGCTTCTGACAAACAGTCAACGAGGGGAGATGGATTCACTTAATGACTGCATGATTCACTTAGCAGCCGCAGCAAAAAGGTTGTTAAATCAGGCAGAGAATTTCCAGTCCCAATCACGGTTGTAAATTGAGGATTACCTGTATATAGCTGAAGGAGGGCCTAAGTTTGGGGTGTTAAATTCAAGGCCTGGGGGCCAGACCTGGCCTGCGGGATGTTTAGATCTGGCCGCAGGGCCGTCCTGGAAACAGCGAAGGACTGGTTCGTGGTGCCTCTGCCAGTGAAAATGGGCTGGTGAACTCCGTTTTCAGCTGCGACGGCCTCCTGCAACCTTCTGCCAGTGAAAATGGAGCTCGGGAGGGCCGCCCACGGCCCTCCCGAGTTCCATTTTCACTGGCAGACGGTTGCAGGAGGCCGTCGCAGCTGAAAACGGAGTTCACCAGCCCGTTTTTGCTGGCAGAGTACTTGGGCCACCATAGGCGTCCCCGACACAAGTGACATTGAGTTGGCTACGCCCCCCCCAAGGTCAAACCCAACCCTGATGCGGCCTTCAATGAAATTGAGTTTAACCCCCCTGTCCTAGGTTTAAGTTTTATTAAACTAGAGACCCTGGGGTGGTGAAAAAAAGCCAAGATGCCAGCTTCAACGGTGTGGTTGTGGCACCATTAGGACATTTGATTGCAAAAAGAGGAAGGGTGGAAACAGGCTTACCCACAAACCGGACCGTCCTGCGGAGAAAAGAGTTGAAATTGCAACCGCCGGCATTTATGCTGCCTTCAGTATTGCTACGGCCCTTCATCTTTGACTGCAAGCAATACACGATGCCTTCGCCCACCATGATCTGCCAAGCAAAGCAGCAACGTCAGACCGCCAGGTCCTTCCTTCCACCCTGCCTGCCTTGGACTCTCTCTCTCTCTATTTGAGGATGGACTTTAACTCCCATAATTCCCCAGTCAGCAATCAGGAATTCGATGGTCCCATGGATGCTTTCAATCCCATTAACTGTTTAACTGCCGCACAACCAGTGGTGGGTTGCAGGCGGTACGCCCCGGTATGGGCGTATCGGAGCCTGTCCGGAGCACCCGGGTACTTGTTCCGGTATGGTGCTCCAGAGGACCCACCTGCCCACCAGAGCTCCTTATCTGTCCTTATCTATCTGAGCCGAGGTGGCACAGTGGGTAGAGTGCAGTACTGCAGGCCACTTCATCTGACTGCTATATACAGTTCAGCGGTTCAAATCTCACCGGCTCAGGGTTGACTCAGCCTTCCATTCTTCCGAGGTGGGTAAAATGAGGACCCAGACTATGAGGGCGATATGCTGACTCTGTAAACCGCTTAGAGAGGGCTTAAAGCCCTATGAAGCAGTATATAAGTCTAACTGCTATTGCTTTAAGCCTTTGGCGCTTCTGCGCAAGCGCATGGTGCGTACAGCACCTGCACAACACTCCGCCGAGCAGCTGGAGCATTGCAGAGGCTTGCGGAGGTGTCGCAGGCAGGTACGATGCATGCGCGCGCCACACGCGTCCATGTGGGCAACGCCGGGCCTGTTCCAACCATACTGGTTGGAATGGGATCCAGAACCCACCACTGTGCACAATCCTCATTTCTGGTCTTTAGGATCTTCCTCGGAGCTTCTCCTGGTGGACCAAATGCACTTTCTGACCAGCAATCCAATTCAGGAAGGCCGAATAAGACAGAAGAACTAAGCAGAGGATTCTTGCTTTCAAGCTCATATAGTGAGCATTTGCCAGTCACTGTTGGAAACGGTGGGATTAATGGGGTTTGGGAATCTATCCAGCAGAATCCGTATGTCACCTTCCTCCAGCCAGCCCTCTACCAGATGCCTTGGGGCTTTAACTCCCAGATGGTGACTAGGAATTGTAGTCCCAAACCACGTGGATGGTCCCTGTTGGAGAAGGTTGCTTTGTGTTCCTGAGGGAACTGTATTGGGGGGAAGTGGGGGAGAAAGACAGCTGTTAATGATTTGGGCTTCTTCAAGGTGAAAGAGTGAGACTTTGATCACAAAGGATCAGATGCCATTTTGAACCCCTTCCTCTTCTGTAGTCACCCCAGAGAACTTGCCATTTTGGATATGAGTTTTCCGATCAGCAAACAGGATGAAATGTCTGAACCGAGAGCCAATGTGGAGTACAGGTTAAGGTGCCTAAACTAGTGTTTCTCAATCTTGGCAACTTTAAGATGTGTGGATTTCAGCTCCCAGAATTCTCCAGTCAACATGCTTGCTGGAGAATTCTGGGAATTCTCAGGATTCTTAAAGTTCTCCCCACAATACAATACAATAGCAGAGTTGGAAGGGACCTTGGAGGTCTTCTAGTCCAACCCCCTGCCTAGGCAGGAAACCCTATACTGTTTCAGACAA